ACAATTTTTTATAATTTTCTATGCACAAAGCAAACGTGGATTTCTGGATGAATATAATAAACTAATATTGAAAACATTTTATAAATTACTAATTAACTTGAATGAAGCAGTCTCTCGCACACAAACCGAGTATTCTCTTTCATATCTCCATACCCAAATGGCCAAGGTTCATCCTCTCATAATACCCAACAGTACCAATAGCGATGATGCTTCTTCAAGCTGTGCTATTCATACACATATGACTTCAAAGAGGGAAACATTCACAGTATGGATGAAATCGCTTGTGATGCAAGGAAACGGATGCACTGCGTTTGGCGAAAACGGAGAGGTCGTTTATCGAATCGATAACTACGACAACAAGCACAGCAACGAAGTTTATCTCATGGATCTCCGCGGAAAACTTCTCTTCATTGTGTGTGAGAAGAAAATGTGCGGCTTTCCAAGTTGGAAGGGGTGTAAAAATAATGGTGCCAGTAAGCCATTTTTTCAAGTGAGAAAAAGCTGGAGATCGGTTCTTGGAAAGAAAGGGTTTTCTTATAAAGTAACCATGGGATCTGATAGCAGTTCTTACAGGTTAGAGGGTTCGAGTGGTAAATCATCAGAATTCAGAATCACGGATGGCAATGGAGGAGTTGTAGGAGAGGCAAAGAGAAAGCAGTCAAGTTCAGGAGTTGTATTGGGAGATGATGTGTTCACTTTGGTGGTGGAGCCTCATGTTGATCACTCCTTTATCATGGCTCTCGTCACTGTTTATGGATTAATTAGACATCAAATCTGACTTAGGGTTAGCTGTGTCATAGACATACATATATATATATATATACTTGTAGCAAATAGTGGTTCTTAGTGAAATCAATTGAGTTTCTTGACCAATTTTTCTCAAGATTCCAACCCTTTTGGTGGGAATTCCAACCCACTTGTATCAATATGGGATATTATAAAGTAATTAATTATTAACTCAGTCATTTTCATTTCCTCTGTTCTGGCTGGTTGCACATACTAGTATCTTTTGATTTTCAGTCTAACGGGTTTAAAACTCATTTATTGGAATTATGAATTTAAATTGCACTAGTGGACATAGGCGTCATGTCAGCGGCATTTGAACACATATAAAGTTTAGCGGATAAATTGAGACAAATTAAGTTTCAAGGAATAAAGTGAAATAAGTGTAATAGTTCGTGGAAAATATAAGTTTATAACAAAGCCTTATTAGTTAAATTTAGCTATAAATAAAGGAGGATCTTTTAGATCCTTTCTCTAAGGCTTCTCCTTAGCCAAACTATATGGAAATGTTCAAAACAAAAATATGTGCTCGGATCATGTTAATTACTTTGCTTGTTCTAAATTTGAGGAGAGAGAGAGAGAGAGAGAGAGAGAGAGAGAGCATGCAGAACCTTCAAAAGTGAGTAGATAAAATGAGAAGAGAATCCCATTTGTATAAGCTAGTTGGACTTTCTACATAAGGAGGCGGCCTTTGAAAAGTTACAGAGGTGGCAGCCAAGTACAAGCAAAGTAGCAAACAGACTTTTCTTTTTTTATTCTTTTGACAACACAAATATGTTCTTTCCATGTTTGTCTTAGGTCACATCTTATTTATTTAAATTTTAAATAGCCATACTAATCTTCTTTCTTTTCTTTTTAGTGTTACATATAGACTTAAGATTCGTTAATGGCTTCTCTTTGCAAAGTCACTCAATGCGACAAATGAGCGCGTCACCCTCCATATATTTGAGTTATTTTGGAAACCATGTACTAACAGATAAGACCTCGATTATCATAATTAATCAACAGATTCCATACAATTAATATTATTTGTTGGTAAGAGGATTAAGAAATTGATCATATAAACACAAAACTCCGACAAGTTCCTTTTATAATACTCATGAGAGCCGAGAAGTAGTCAAAAAATGTCGAAAATATGTGGTTCTGTATGAATATATATATGTGTATATGTATACGTGCACACACGATTGATCCGCTAAAAAAGGTTTCCAAACTACTTTAAAGCTCTAAAAAAGTTTTTCAAACCACTTTAAACCAATTTCTATGCACATACATAAAACGTGGAGGTCTTGGATCAGCAAAACTAATAATTAAACCATTTTATTCTTAGTTCCCAATTTTCAGTACTGACTATAAATTACTAACTTGTTTCAAGTCTCACAAACCAAAAATTAAACTTGTCTCATATATCTCTCCTCTCCCAAATGGCCAAGGTTCATCCCCTCATAATACCCAATACTATTGATGAGGCTTCTTCTGCTACTGGTTTTGATTCTTGTTGTAATAATAAATATATAACTTCAAAGCGAGAAACATTCACTATATGGATGAAATCGCTTGTGATGCAAGGAAGCGGATGCACTGCGTTTGATGAGAATGGAGAGATTGTGTATCGAATCGATAACTACGACAACAAGCACAGCAGCGAAGTTTATCTCATGGATCTCCGAGGAAAACTTCTCTTCACCTTGTGTGAGATGAAAATGTGTGTTTTTCCAAGTTGGAAGGGCTACAAAAGCAGTGGTGTCAATAACAATAAGCCATGGTTTCAAGTGAGAAAAAGTTGCAGATCAATTCTTGGAAAGAAAGGGCTTTCCTATAAAGTAACCATGAGATCTGATAGCAGCTGTTACAGGTTAGAGAGTTTGAGTGGTAAATCATCAGAATTCAGAGTGACAGACAGCAATGGAGGAGTTGTAGCAGAGGCAAAGAGAAAGCAGTCAAGTTCAGGGGTAGTTTTGGGAGATGATGTGTTCACTTTGGTGGTGGAGCCTCATGTTGACCACTCCTTTATCATGGCTCTTGTCACTATTTATGGCTTAATTAGACATCAAATATGACTTAGAGTTAGCTGTATCAAATATACATATACGTACTTGTAGCAAATAGTGGTGTATAAAATGAAATCAAAACATAAATTATTTTTTTACCCATATTTCATGTTCTTGTAGTTTTCAATATGAAATCATCTTAACTCCATTCAGGGCATGTTTACGTATGAGTAATGGGTATGGGAGGAAAGGGAATGATTTTCATTCCTGACTTCCCTTGCATTTACTTGCAATAAGGAATATAAAAAATAAGTGGACCCCACCTCAAATCCGTAATCACATTCCCTCAAAACTAGGTATCAAATCAACTAGGGAGGAGTAGTCGATATGATTCTCATTCCTGTTTTCTCTTAATAACTTCCAAAATACCCTTACCACTTTACCATAATTCTAAAATACCCCAAACCCTTAAAAAAAACATAAAAACTCATGCCAAGAAGTTCCAAGACGCTCCAACTTCTTTTTCACCTTAGCGTTGCAGACACAACCACCTAGAAGTAGCAGCAACGCCTTGTGCTATGAAAGTCATTCTATCTATCTATCTATCTTCTTCTTCTTCTATCTCCTGTCTTCACATTCATCACAAAACAAAGTATGGTCATGGATAAAGACTTTTGTGGAGATTATATATCTCTTTTTTGGTAGTATGAAGATTATGAATGGTTATTATTATTTGATTGTTTACTAGTTACGTAGGTGAAAGATATATATTTATTGGAGTTTCTTTTTTCGTTTGAAATTGGCTCTGGACAAAGGTGTTATTAACATTATCATTGAACTAAGCTCTTGTTATTCATCTTGTTTAGCATATTGATTTCTCATGTTTACAGCGCCTTATTGGTTTGCTGCAGAATTAGTTTGGTCTCGTTAGCCAATTTGAGAATTATATATGTGTTGTGGTGAAAATGTGTAGGACATTTTAGTAATCAAATTAATTTAGATTTTGATTCATGCAAATTAGTAAACAATAACAATGGGGAATCAATCTCATTCCTTTGCTAATTCCATATGTTTAGTAAACAGCTTAATGAGAATGATTCTTCTCATACCGATTCAGTAGTTCCCCGATTTCTAAATTCTCTAATTCCTTACTTTCTCCATTACTGATACGTAAACATGCCCTCAGTTCCTGGGAGCAAATAACCTGGTTTCCAATCACAAGGAACCACGTGAACAAGAAAATCATCTCCTAGATCAATTATTGAGCCCATTCATTGGGCAAATTAATTGATACTAAAATAAGGATGTTATCTTAAATATGAGCTATTATCATGATTTAAAAAGATAATATCACCAATTAAGATATTATCCAAATTTGGAGATATCATCATCAATCAAATCCTTAATTGACTCAATCTCTACAATTTGGGGAAAGAATATCTTCCTTCCAAATAAGAAGATATTCTTTGAAAAACCCTAGATGCCTAGAGCCCTATAAATACATGGCTACATTCAACACACAAGGTAATCCTAAACCTAGCAAAAATACCCGAGAAACCATTACTGTCTCCGCCCACACCTCTCTCATCTCTCCATATTTTCATACACGGCTCCGGCCACCCGGTTCTCCCCATAGAGAATACTCCGTATCCTTTTTTAGCTATTGTTTCTCCTAGATATGTACAATTGAATTAACTTAGGCATCGGAGGGCCTTTGGCCTTTGGTTTAATTATAAGTGTGTGGTCTTTACTCCAGTTTGATTTTATAAGAATTGAGAAAGAGAGAGAAAGAAGTTCAAAAAGCGAAGGATCTTCAAGCGGATATTCTCCTATGAGAATATTTGCACAAACAGTGACCCTCATGCCATTATATTTTTGGATCAGAATGAAGTCAACATAAGAGGATGATGATAACTAAAAACAAACAATAAGTGTGTTACTTGTTGTTCATGGCATGAACTTCTTCCATATATTTAGGATAAATTGATTGGATAACAAACAAAAGAAAAGCCCTCCCAAGACATTGATGAAAGTTCCCCTTTATTTTCCGCATGAACTTATATTGCACAATTGTTTACATATATGTAACTATTAAAGCATATTTCAGTCTGTAGGGTTAAGCCGGTCAAGATATGAGGGAAAATGGAGGAATGAGTTAGAATTAGGATATGTCAAGCCATATCATGAAAATTTGAATTTTGTCCTCCCTTATATGCACAAGATTCCTTAGCAGATATAGCCACCCACAACAGAGGATGCGTGACACTTTCCCTATATTAATTAAATTATCATCAAACCATAATAAGGATACGGATATGAATAAAATTATAGAAACCATAATTAATTTTCGATATACGTGAAAATACATAAAACAATATTTTATTAAAATTAAATTAAATTAAAAACAAATAATAAATAATAAATAAATAAATTTAAAAAAAAACCTGCAGCGCCATCTCTCCTCCCATTCCCCTTTGTCTCCCCATTCCCTCTCCCCTCTGCCTTCTATACTCCAATTCCCCTTTGTCTCCCCATTCCCTCTCTCCTTCTATACTGTCTATGCTCTCTCCCATTTCATTCCCTTCTAGAGAAGGGCTTCATCCCCACCGTTTCTTTCTTTTGGTTTTAAAATAAAAATTGACTCTGTCTCTTGGGGAGAAAACTTGGGCGTGGACTTGGGATTTTGCGAATTTAGTGTCGTCTACCTGGCTACATTCTTTGAAAAACCCTAGATGCCTAGAGCCCTATAAATACATGGCTACATTCAACACACAAGGTAATCCTCAACCTAGCAAAAATACCCGAGAAACTCCACTCTCTCTCTTCAAGTCAACGGCACCATCACTGCCGTCGGCCACACCTCTCTCATCTCTCCATATTTTCATATACCGCTCCAGTCATCCGGTTCTCCCCATAGAGAATGCTCAGTACCTTTTTTTAGCTATTGTTTTTTCTAGATACAATCGAACTAACTTAGGCATCGGATCCTTTGGCCTTTGGTTTAATTATAAGTGTGTAATCTTTTACTCCAATTTGATTTTACAGGAATCGAGTAAGAGAAAGAAAGAGTTCAAAAAGCGAAAGATCTTAAAGTGGATATTCTTCCACGAGATATTTGCACAAACAATGACCCTCATGCCATTATATTTTTGGATCAGATTGAAGTCAACATAAGAGGATGACGATAAGTTGATAACTAAAAACAAGCAATATCTTGTTGTTCATGGCATCAACTTCTTCCATGTATTTAGGATAAATTGATTGGATAACAACAAAAGAAAAGCCCTCCCAAGACATTGATGAACTTATATATATTGGACAATTGTTTACTTAATGTATAATATCATTATCAACTTCGTAGTGCGGTAAAGACACAAGTAAATAGAATAAGGATAAATACTTTCTCAAAAAACAAATAATATAAAGACACAAGTTATTCTCTTTCCTTATCTTTTCTGAATAACTCTCACTCATGCATACCATTGTATTACACCTGTTAGCTATATGTGTAATTATGAAAGCATTTTGAGTCCGTAGGGTTAAGCCGGTCAAGAAGGGAAGATGAAGGAACGAGAGTTAAAATTAGGGGTGGGCACGGTTCGGTTTGGACCGGTTCTTGGAGAAAAATGGAACCTGATCCAATAGTGCAATCCGGTTCGGTTTGGACCGGTTCTGCTCAATATCCATACAGAAATCCGAACCAAACCGGACCTGTTTCGAATCTTTTTTTTTTTTTTTTTTTTTTTTATTTATTTATTTAAATAATAATAAACAAACCTGCCCAAAATGAATTTATATACTAACATACCTCAAATTTGAGGTTCTATCAAGCTTTCAACGCATCAAAATGAATCTAACTTTAACAAAAATGCAATCCAAATTCAATCCAACTTTAACATATAAATTACAACCCAAATTCAATCAAACTTCAACAAAAATGCAATCCAAATTCAATCCAACTTCAACATATAAATTACAACCCAAATTCAATCAAACTTCAACAAAATAAGTTCCAAAATAAATTACTAGCCAAATACAACCAAAATTCAATTCAAATATACATTACAACCCAAATTCAATCCAACTTCATTAAATTCCTCCTAACATTGAAAAGTAGTTGGAGCTATGGTGCTAGGTGTGGATGAACTCATAATATCTACATAAAAAAAACATAAACCCATTAAAACATTAGTCAAACATACACATTATATAATACATTAATAAAGCATATAAAATTACAAAGACACCCAATCAAACTTAGCCAAGTATAAAAATATTTATATAATTTCAAATATAATATAAAAATATATATATTAATTTTATTGGACCGGTTCGGATTGGACCGGTTCCTAAGGGTAGAAAACCGGAACCGGAACCGGTCTGAACCGGTTCGGTTTGGATTTTTCTCGGTTTTTGACTTTTTCGGTCAACACGGTTTTTTTCGGTTTTTTCCGGATTGGTTTGGTTCGGTTTTACGGTTTTGCGGTTCCAATGCCCACCCCTAGTTAAAATAAACACTTGTCGTCCCTTGTGCACAAGATTCCTTACAGATATAGCCACCCACAACAGAGGACGTGTGACACTTTCCCTATATTAATTAAATTATCATCAAATCATAATAAGGATACGGATATGAACAAAAAATTATAGAAACCATAATTAATTTTCGATATACATGCAAATACGTAAAACAATATTTTATTAAAATGAAAATAAATTAAAAACAAATAATAATAAAAAATAAATAACTTACTGACAAGTCGATAGACTAACATACAATATACAATAAGTCCCCGTTAGCTAGCCATGTGTAGCAACCAAATAATGTTAAAATCTCTATTCCTTTGATACTGGACAGACAGCCTAGAAGGAGTCAAAAAAAACATGTCGAAGATAAACACCAATATAAACTCATTTTGATAAAAAGAAAAATAAAACGTGTGGCTATGAACATATCCCCACACCACATATCACATGCACATAGGTTAAAACGTGGAGGTCTCTTTGGATGCGTCATGACCAAACGATTGTTATATACCAATATCTTTCCCAATTTTGAGTGGAGTATAAAATAGTAACTTCATATTGAAGAAGTCTCACGCAAACCAAAATTTTGGTTCATCTCTCAGCTCTCAAATGGCTAAGATTCATCCTCTCATAATACTCAATAGTAGCCATGAAGCTCCTTCTAGCTCTACTGCTAGTACTTCATCGTGTTCTAACAAGTACATGACTTCAAAGAGAGAAACATTCACCATATGGATGAAATCGCTTGTAATGCAAGGAAACGGATGCACTGCGTTTGATGAAAGAGGAGAGATCGTTTATCGAATCGATAACTACGACAACAAGCACAGCAACGAAGTTTATCTCATGGATCTCCGGGGCAAGCTTCTCTTCACTGTTTGTGAGAAGAAAATGTGTGGTTTTCTAAGCTGGGAGGGCTACAAAAGCAACACTATTGTTCGTGCCAATAGGCCAATGTTTCGAGTAAGGAAAAGTTGTAGAGCAATTCTTGGAAATAATGAGTGTTCTTATAAAGTAAGCATGGGATCTGAGACCAGTTGCAGCTACAAGTTAGAAGCCTTGCGGGGGAAATCATCAGCATTTAGAATTACGGACAGCAATGGAGGATTTGTAGCAGAGGCAAAGAGAAAGCAGTCAAGTTCAGGAGTTGTATTGGGAGATGATGTGCTGAGTTTGGTGGTGGAGGCTCATGTAGATCACTCCCTTATCATGGCCCTTGTCACTGTTTATGGATTAATTAGACATCAATTATGAGCTTACATCTTTAGAGCTAGTAACTCTGATTTCTTTTTCTTTTTTCCGTTTCTGGTCTATGTGAATACGACCGATTTTGTGGTTGGCAATGTTGTTGCTCATGGGGTTTTTTCCTCTCTTGTTTCCTTTTGTTGGAATTTTTCCTGATATTATTGTACATTTTAATTGAGATTTTGTGGGATTGAGCAGATTAATTCAGCCTAATATTGTACATTTTCCATTTTCCTATACAGCAAGCTAATATTTCATGTATTAACACAACCCAACAATGCTTTAAGCCTAGAATTAAACTAATATCCTGACAGAGGTCCTCTCTCTCTCTCTCTCTCTCTCTCTCCTCTCTCTCTCTCTCTCTCTCTCTCTCTCGTTAGAATGTCTTGAACCACTTAATGTGGTCTTCTAATCAGATAAGGATTTGGACTTTATGTTGATTACCCGTAGCCTAGTCTTTTAGTCCTCTCTCTCTCTCTCTCTCTCTCTCTCTCTCGATCCACCTTTTTTTGGGTCTTGTTTGTTTCAATGAATTCCATGTGTATCATGTTTTTTTTTTCTTGATGCATAGTAAATGTACAAATTTTCTGCAGCAGGCAAGCATGCATGACTGGAACTTGTGTAGCTGCCTAATAAGTGCATGCATCTAAATAAATTTTCATTATAGGCAACTTGACTTCATCTGGAAATAAAACGTGAAAATGAAGGCCACAATTAGAACATCCAATTGCTAACTTACAAATTCTAATTAGAAATCTACCTCTTGTTTAACTATTATGACCCAAATCACCCACATCTTAGTTGTCAGCATAGAACAATAGACCAATCACCAGAAGTCCTCTTAAATTTGAAGTACTCCGTGATGTTAGTTGTAAAAAACAACTTAAGTGCATAACATGCCTAGTGAACAGTAATATTGGGGGACGGGGGACTCGAACCTAGCACTTCGGGTGCTGGAGTAAATGCTCTTAACCACTCGATCCACAATTTTGAGATTTGTTTTGTAATCTATAAGAGCATGTCCACCCCAAAAGGCTAAGGCTAAGGCTAAGGCAAGGCAAGGGCTGCTACTATTCACGTGAATAGTGGCAGCCTTGCCTTTTTTGGTTCCACCCCAAAAGGCTAGGGCAAGGGCAAGAAAAAAAAAAAGAATATGCAACAAAATATAAACTTGTTATTTATTTATAGGCAAAGTGAATAAAATTGTTATGTATTTATAGGAAAAACATCCATAATTTTTGGTATTTTTTTTATAATAAAAAAAAATTGAATTTTTTTCCTTTTTTTGAATTTTTTTGAATTTTTTTGTGCTTGCTGAAGTCAGCATGACGTCGCCGCTGATGTCAGCGCCTTCGGGCTGAAGCCCAGACAGAATCAGCCTTTGGGCTTACCCAGGCTGGTGGGACCCAGGCCTTGCCCGGGCTGTTGGTTGCGCGCTGGAAGTCCAAACCCTTCAAAAGGGACCTCCTGCCCTGGCAAAAGGGCCTGCGCTAGAGATGCTCTAATACTCATAGAACAGAACACAACTACTGATGATTACTAATGCCGACCAGAAGGCCACCACCAGCCAAAGGAATACATGTAGATTGAAGCAGCCATAATTTGACTGTTGTGGGTACTTGATCTCCACAAATTTTAATGGTCAGTTGTCCTTCACGAGGCCAAGGAAGGGTGTAGATTTTGGCCACACATCACAAGCTAATTGAGTTCAGTCCACGAAAAACTGATGCACTCTTGGCCATGGCCAGAAGTACAAAAACTATACTAAGATATATAGATACTCTGCAAAATTGAAAGGATCAAAAAATATAAAGAATATATTAATGATATAATCGTCATATATATAGGACATGAGAACATTGACAAGCTTTAAAAGAATCACAGAAAAAAGCATGGACAGAACACTGAACCACATGAACTACATTAGACATGGGAGCAGACAGCATAAAGCGAGGGGGAAAATTATATGACCTGTGTACATATATTTACTCACTGCAATGAACTGTCAGGTCTTGATTTTTGGTGTGAACATACTCCAGTTGTTTTAACTGTACATGGTAATATAGGATTATGAACAGTTTTTTTAGCTCCTCTTCGAATTTTTGAGGTTGCGTACTGTCATTACAAGCTGTTGTCTTTCACCTTCTACTTCCGCAAATTTGAGACTTATCTCTGAATATCTCTCTTGCATCTCTTTTAGTTCACTTTCCATTGATGTATTCCTCTCCTTAATTGACGCTAATTCAGTTAATAAGTCATCATGGTAGCCATTTCTATGATCCACATTGGCGAGTCTCGGTTCTTGCTCTGATGACATTTCATCAGCACTGTGGGAAGCCCGCCCAAAAAAAAAAAAAAAAAAAAAAAAAAAAAAAAAAAAAAAAAAAAAAACTTTTTGCATACTAGGAACAAGCAGAGTAAAATTGTAAAACGTATAAAACAAAAAATAACTGACTCAGTGAAATTGATAATTTGTTTCTACAAATCATACCTCTTGATACAAGACATATCATTTCCATTTTCTTTGGGCAATAATGCTGAGTGGCCCAAGTATTCAGATCCACTCCTCTCTTCTTCATTTGAAGTTATACCAGTGATATCTTTGCCTACCTGTACCATAAGATGATTGCACAAATACCTTCAGATACAATTAGACAGCATTTAATGGCAAACGCAAGAAGCTCAGCATAGACATTATTCAAGAATTAGAGCAAGAAGAGAAGGAGAAGAACTAGAGAAAGATGAGAACTACCCTAAACTCGAAGTCAATGTTCTTACTCAATATGCCTCACATCTAAAACCCTATAACTAATGCCTATTTACGTAGGTAATCCCGTATCAAATTAGCATTCCAATCCAATTTTTTTTTTTTTTTTTTTTTTTTTTTGTTATTTTTTTTTATGATTTTTCTTTTCACATATTTTTTTTTTTTCCTTTTCTTCATAATCTATAATCATATAAGCATATCATAAGCATTGCATGTATCTGATAATTACGTAATAGAGAGAGTTTACCAACCTTCATAACTGAACTATTCTGATTGATTTCTTCCACCCTGCTCTCTAACTCTTCGATTACGTTTTGAAGATCCTTTTCCTTCTCCAAAAATGAAGCAGTTGAGGTTTCCAAAGCAGCTTCCCTTAACTTTATTTGTCCCTGTAAAATTAAAAAATTAAAAATTAGAGACATTGTCAGCTCATGCATCAATAAAGACAGTAGCTAGAAAATGATTTGGATGTATCAGAAGATGGTTTACAGGTTTTAATATCCTCTCTTATTGTTGCAAATTTAACTGATCTTCTCTTGGTTTATCTTTCATAAAATAAAAATAAAGATCGTTTCATAAATAAAGTTTCATATCAAAATTGTTTCAATATATGACTAAGAATTTAAAATTTACCTCGAGCAATTTTATTCTCTCCCTAAGACCTGCAACTTCTTTTGAACCTTTAGGAACTGGCAAAGACTTATTGTTTCTGTGAGCAGATTTAATTCCATCAGAAACTAATGCACGTCCATTGCTATCCTTGAGCTTCTTTTCAATGGTTGTGAATGCATCTTCCTTCTTTCTCAGGTCAGCCTTTAGCTGGAAGACCTGCTTTCCAAGTTTTTCTTTCTCTACCTCGTCCTCAGATATCGAATGTTTCAAGTCATTACATTGAGCTTTAAGCTCTTCTAATTCCGAATGTAGGAGTCCAACTGTCGCTTCTTTTTCTTCTTTGAGCTCCCTCATTCTATTCAACTTCTCCAATGACTTCTCTCCTTCCTCCTTCAGCATAGCAATTGTACTCACCAGCTCAATTCTTTCCGCATCTCCCCTTTGTATCAGCATCTCAGTTTCCTCGATTGATTTCTTCATTTGTTCCAAATCTGCTCTCAAATTTTTGTTTTCCTCTGCTTGCTCAGAAAGGCTATTATTTTCAGTTTTAAGCCTATCAATCTCAGACTGGAGCTGTAAGATCACCTGGGAGAAATGCCCCTTAACTTCTTCCTCTTGCTTCTGCTGATGTTCAAGCTGCTTGGATTTATTCTCAATTTCCACTAACATCTGTTCTATCTGTTCGGTTTTCTCATCTATTTGGTTGGAGGTCTTCTGCAATCTTGCCTCATAATCATTTCTAACTTCCTGGAGCTCTTCCGTAGTTTTCTGGAGCATTTCTTCTAGTTGACATTTCTGTACACGCAGTTCATTGGCTTCTGTCATTGCTTTCAAAGCTACCTTTTCATTTGCATCAAATGTTGAGGCCATTTGCACAGAGAGTCTTCTAAATTCTTCCTGAAGCCTCTCAGCTGTATTAGCATTTTTGGATCTAGTTTTCCTCAGTGCCTCCTCTGCTCGGATGGCTCTTTGCTCCTGCTCAACTTTCGCACATGTCACAGCTTCTAAATCAGCTTCAAATACTTGTGCCTGCTTCTCCAGTTCATCCTCCAAGCTTTTGATATGTGATTCAAGTTCCTTTATGGTAGCCAACGAATTAGAAAAATCTTCAGCCTGCTTCTTCAGTTCTGTTTCCAAATCCTCAACTTGGGATTCAAGTTCATTCATGCTAGCAGAGGGAGATGAACATTCATACTGCATTTTAAGTTGTTCTTGCAGTTGGCTTTGCTCTAGTTTATATGAGATGTCATGGTTTTCTTGTTTCAATATCTCATAGTCAAGTGCAAGCTGCTCCATTTGGATCTCAAGCTCATCTTTGTCTCTTCTATAGATTTCTATTTCACTATAGAGGTCTGCAATCTGTTTCGCAAGCAGGTGTGTTTCCCTGGCATTGCTGTGCTCCTTAACAAGATCCTCCAGCTCCATCTGCTCCTCATCCTCACTGGTCCCACCTTTTGAGATGGTTGCCTTCAACCCTGCAGCATCTTCAGTGGATTCTGGTCTGTTGGAAATGTCAGCTATTTCACTATTCTTCTGCTCCAATATCTCCTCCAGGTCTCGTACAGCAAGAATCAACTCAGAATTTGATTCTTGCGTCTTCTGGAGCTGCAAACGGAGATTGAAAGTCAGG